AAATTCGAATTACACTATTTTATCAAATGAGTCGAGCAGAAGTGAGTCTAACTTTTTGATACTCGTTTAGTTAATGATGAATATATGACCGTTGAGCAGGCTTCTTCATTTTCCTTTTATTTTTTTCTTTTATTTTTTATCTGGTTGTTAAAACGATGTCGTATTAGGGCAAATAAAAATGTAAAACATTAAGCGGGCTATATAATTGAACCGTGACTGAAATGAAATGCGCGCGTTTTGGGAAAATTATCAGAGTTGCATATTTTTCCTTTTTGCCTTAGGTATTTTGTTCTTCATGGTATCCAGAGCAGGTCAAGCTCATTGAACCCCGACGAACTTATCAATGGCGAATCGCAATGAAGCGTGGCCACTGCTGAATGCGAGAACAAATGTTGGTGCAGAAACTCGTGTAGATAATCCGCTGTTCCTCCATGGATCGGATCATCCTGGTCTGCAGCTGGTATCACATCCACTTACAGGAGCTAATTTTCTGACGTGGAAACGATCAATGATGATCGCACTCGGTGCGAAGACGAAGATAGGCTTTATTAATGGTTCGGTTGAACCGCCAACTGCAGAAGATCCAGACTTCGACAAATGGAAGAAAGTCGACTGTATGGTAATTTCCTGGATCTTAAACTCAATTTCTAAGGACATAGCCGATGGATTTGTTTTTGCTGAGACTGCTAGGGAGTTGTGGGAAGAAATTTGCCAAAGTTTTGGTGAAAGTAATGGTCCATTGATCTATCAACTGCAAAGGGAAATTTCGAATTTAAAACAAGGCATTGATTCAGTCATGATATATTTCAACAAATTGAAGAGAAAGTGGGAGGAATATGGATGTCTAGTACCTCATTTGATGTGTCAGTGTGAAATTGGAAAACAGATGGATGCACAATATCAGCAAAACAAACTCATGCAGTTTTTGATGGGATTGAATGAGAGCTATGATCACGTCAAAAACCAGGTTTTATTGATGGATCCTCTACCTTCAGTCAGTAAAGCTTACTCCATGTTGCTCTCTGCTGAGAGACAGAGATCAGTGCAGCTTGCTAGTGATGATTTTAATTCAGGCATGGCAATGGCTTTTAAGACAAATGCACCATTTGGCAGAGGCATGCACAGTAAATTCCCCAATGGACAACCATCTTATGGTAGAGAACGAGGTGGACAGAGGTTGTCCAAGGAAGAGAGGGCTAAGTTGACATGTGATAATTGTGGATGGAAGGGACATGAAAAGGCTACATGTTTCAAGTTACATGGCTATCCAGATTGGTTCAAAGAAATGAGGGACAACAAGATGAAAGGCATTGCTAATGTGGCTGAGGTAAAGGAAAGCAATCAAGCACTGCTGGGAACAGGTTTCAATTCCATAAGTGACATAACCAAATTAGCTCAAGAGGTAGCTAAGATCCTTGGTAAAGGCAATAAGGATGGCACAGGAGGTCATGCAGTGATGGACGAGGAGCACTTTGTAAATTTTGCCACAAATGAGGCAGACTATGCACTGTCTATGTATGATAATGTTGAAGGAAAGGCTTGGGTGATTGACACAGGTGCTAGCAAGCACATGTGCACAGACAAAGACTTAATGAAAAACATGGTGGTTTTATCAAAGGCAATCACCATTTACTTGCCTGATGGGAGTGTTAAGGAGGTATTTGAAATGGGTGAAGTAGAACTAACAAAGGATCTCACACTATATGGAGTGTTGTTCATACCTTCATTCAAGTATAATTTACTCTCGGTCACACAACTATGTGCTTCCACCAACCTGAGATGTACCTTTACTTCAAATCAGTGTTTCTTTGAGGATGAACTGACAGGGCAAAGGAAGGGACATGGAAAACTGCAAGGGAAACTTTACATATTAATCACAGAGCAAAGGCACAAAAATGATCAGGTAGCATGTATTGTCTCTCTTGAACACTGGCACAAAATTTTGGGGCATGCTTCCTTAGGTGTGTTACAGCATATAAGCTTCTTGAAAGGATATTGCAATAAGAAGGATGCATTGAAAGAATGTGACACCTGTTTCAAATCCAAACAACATAGAGCACCATTTCCCTTGAGCAAGATACAATCTAAGGATGTGTTTGAGATGATACATGTTGACATATGGGGTCCTTGCAAAGAAGATAACCTCACACACACACCATACTTCTTAACTGTTGTTGATGATTACAGTAGGGGTGTCTGGATATTTTTGATGAAGACAAAAGGGGAAACAGTAGGTCACATTGAGAAATTTTTGATAATGGTCAAGACTCAATTTGGGAAAATAGTCAAAAGAATGAGAAGTGATAATGGCTTGGAATTTGTTGGTGAAAGATGCCAGAACTTGTTGACTAAGAATGGGATTATTCATCAAAGAAGTTGTGCCTACACACCCCAACAAAATGGGGTGGTAGAAAGGAAACATAGGCAGTTATTGGAGATTGCAAGAGGACTTATATTTCAATCTGGATTGCCACTGAGTTTCTGGAGTTATGCAGTCCTAACTGCAGCATTCATAATCAATAGATTGCCCAGCTCAGCTTTGGGATGGAGTACACCTTTTGCAAAGATATATGGGAAGGAGGCAGATTATGGCAGGTTCCAACCTTTTGGGTGTTTAGTATATGCTGCCAACACTTCACCTCTAAAGAGTAAATTTGACACAAGATCTCATAGATGTGTCTTTATTGGATATTTGGTGGGATGTAAAGGATATTACCTGTATGATCTTGAAGAAGAGAAAAAATTTGTTTCCCGAGATGTTGTTTTCTTCCCCAACACGTTTCCTTTTAAATCAGCACCACTTACAGCAGATACATCCATTGACCCTTTGCCAAGAATTGTTGATTCTCCATCAGCAGCTCCTCATATTAATAATGATCCACCACCAGTTGAGTCCAGCGAGCAGATGGAACAAGCTGTGCAAGGTACAAAGAGAGTAAGGACCAAACCAGCTTGGATGAGAGATTATATTTGTGATAATGCTGAACAGGAACAAGCTACACCCACAGATCAATTTTTGATCAATCTAGCACAAGAGGAGGAGCCATTGCATTATAACCAAGCCAAGAATAATGACAAATGGGTTCAGGCCATGAATTTGGAACTACAGGCTTTGGACAAAAATCAGACATGGACAATGTGTTATTTGCCCCCTGGAAAGAAGGCTATTGGGTCCAAGTGGGTGTACAAGATTAAAAGAAAAGCAAATGGGGAGGTGGAGAGATATAAAGCCAGGTTGGTGGCTAAGGGCTTCAATCAAGTGGAGGGTGTGGATTTTTTTGAGGTTTTTTCCCCTGTTGCCAAGCTAGTCACAGTAAGGATGTTTATAGCTTTAGCAGCAATGAAAGGATGGAGCTTGTGGCAGCTAGATGTGAACAATGCATTTCTGCATGGTCACCTCAAGGAAGAAGTATTCATGAAACCACCACAAGGTTACTCAGGATTTAAGGAAGGGCAGGTATGCAAGCTCATTAAAAGCTTATATGGACTAAAGCAGGCTTCTCGAGAGTGGAACTCAGAATTGTGCAAGAAACTCTTGGCTTTTGGTTTACATCAATCTTCCCAGGACCATTGCTTATTCACACAGCACATAGATGGGGAAGTCTTGGCCATGCTTGTCTATGTTGATGATGTCCTTCTCACAGGTTCTTCTCACCATCTCATGACTTCTCTGAAGAACTTCTTACACAAAGAATTTACCATTAAGGACCTTGGTGAGGCCAGATACTTCTTAGGCATTGAAATCACAAGGAGTGCTGCAGGCCTTGGCCTATGCCAGCAAAAGTATGTCAAGGATTTGGTATTAGATCTTGGTCTACTTGATTGTAAAGAACCTCACACCCCACTTCCACCTGGTTTGAAGCTTTCTAGTTTTGATGGGAACCCCATGGATGAACCAGATCAATATAGGAGGGTCATTGGCCGGCTGCTCTATCTCAACCTTACTCGTCCTGATATCAGTTATGCCGTACAACAGCTGAGCCAATTTGTTACCAATCCCTTTACAAATCACATGACAGCTGCACTTCATGTAGTCAAATATCTCAAAGGGACTTCTTCACTTGGGCTTCTTTACACTGCAAGTGGCAATTTTGATCTTAGTTCCTATTGCGATGCTGACTGGGCGGCTTGTAAGGATACCCGGCGTTCCATTACTGGCTATTGCGTGTTTTTGGGACCGAATTTGGTTTCCTGGAAAAGCAAGAAGCAGACGACCGTTTCTCGCTCTTCAGCCGAGGCAGAGTACAGGGCCATGGCCGCCACTGTTTGCGAGCTTCAATGGATCAATGCTGTTGCTCACGTCTTGCTTCTCACCCCAAGCCTCCCAATTACCCTGTGGTGTGACAATCGAGCTGCGATGCACATCACGGCAAATCCGGTCTTCCATGAACGTACAAAGCACCTTGAGATAGATTGTCATGTTGTCCGCAATAAATTCAAGGAAGGCTTCATTGAACTGCGCTATGTCCCTACTCGTGCTCAGTTTGCGGATGTTCTCACCAAAATTCTTCCTGCTGCGCACTTCTCTTCTCTGATTTTCAAGTTGGGCATGATTTCCGTCAACCCTGCTCCAACTTGACGGGGGGGTGATGAATATATGACCGTTGAGCAGGCTTCTTCATTTTCCTTTTATTTTTTTCTTTTATTTTTTATCTGGTTGTTAAAACGATATCGTATTAGGGCAAATAAAAATGTAAAACATTAAGCGGGCTATATAATTGAACCGTGACTGAAATGAAATGCGCGCGTTTTGGGAAAATTATCAGAGTTGCAGATTTTTCCTTTTTGCCTTAGGTATTTTGTTCTTCAGTTAACTAATTGATAAACGAGCTCGAATTCGACCCATTTATCAATATTATCAAATTCGAATCTTAACTCAAAAATTACGTATACATTCATATTATTGAGCTTAACGAGAGTTTTTTTACGAGCAGCTCGTTTTATTTAACAGCTTCTCTCAAAAAAATTAAATTCAAAAAGATATTTCATTTCACTCTGCTAAAGCATCTAAAATTAAATTCAAAAACATATTTCATTTCACTCTGCTAAAGCATCTGAGCCGTTACCGTACCCACCACTAATTGCAGGGTGAAAAGAAAAAGAACAAAACTTTCCCCTTTCACACACACACACAGAAAATCACTTTTTTCCGTGTTGAAAAAATCACACACATTGTAGTACCTGAGCTTGAAATCCACTCCAATATCAATGGAGATGGGCTTTCCACACTCCAATCATGTGAAAGCCTAGCTGCTACATTCAAGGATTTGGTGTTTTTTTCTCTGGGCTGGGCTGAGCTGAATTTGAAGCTGTCACTTTCAAATCTGGTTTTCCGATGGGGAACTGCTGCAGATCTCCGGCAGCCGTCGCGAGGGAGGACGTCAAGTCCTCCAACTACTCCGGCCACGATCATGGTCGGAAGGAGAAGTCCTCCGGCACCGTCAAGAAAGCCATCACGGTGTTAACCGACCAGAAGAAGGAGAACATCGAGGACAGGTACTTAATCGACCGCGAGCTCGGCCGCGGCGAGTTCGGGGTCACCTACCTCTGCATTGACCGGGAGACGAGGGATCTGCTCGCCTGCAAGTCCATATCCAAGCGGAAGCTGCGAACGGCGGTGGATGTGGAGGACGTGCGGCGGGAGGTGGCTATAATGAAGCACTTGCCCACTAATTCAAGCATCGTGAGCTTCAGAGAGGCCTGCGAGGACGAGAACGCCGTGCATTTGGTGATGGAGCTGTGTGAGGGTGGGGAGCTGTTTGATAGGATCGTTGCCAGGGGACACTACACAGAGAGGGCGGCGGCTGGGGTGATGCGAACGATTGTTGAGGTGGTGCAGCTCTGCCACAAGCAAGGGGTGATTCATCGGGATTTGAAGCCGGAGAACTTTCTGTTTGCGAACAAGAAGGAGAATTCGCCTCTCAAGGCGATTGACTTCGGCTTGTCCATCTTCTTCAAGCCAGGTACTGTAATGGAAATCGGTTTTGTGTTTGGTCAATTGATATGGTGAAAAAGGAGGGAGCTGGGAACTATTGGTATGTTGATATTTGTGATATAGACTTATGTGTGTGGTTTTTTGAATATTTGGATGGTGATGTGTCTATGTTGCCTATTGGTTCATTTATTTTGTTTTTTAACTGGAACAGTACTGAAGACTCTGTTTGTAGTTTAATGTAACTTGATGCATCAATGGAACAGGTGTTTAAGAGTTATCTTAAAATAAAGTATATCATGATGTTGAAATTGAAAGTTGGGTAATTCAACTTCATTGGGTAGCTGGAGATAGGATATATGGTTATGCCATTGTAGACCTTGCAGAGATGAAATTAGTAAACTCGTTAATACTGTTGTTTTGGATCAATGCGTTTTACGTTGTGGCATGTACTATAAAATACACATGGTAATGCGTGTGTCATCTTTGGCTGTTGTTGTTTCAATAATTTCAGAATGTTCCACAAAATCCAATTATGTATCTCGAGCAAGATTGAAAAGTTCTACAATAATGCCTAAAGATAAACTTCCCTTCACTCATAAATGAACTTACAATGGACTGCTAGGCAACTCCCTGATGGATCCTTACGATTAGAAAATGAAAAGGAATGAAGAAAAATATATGGTGTATTCGGATTACTAAGTTATTCGTCTGCTCATTTCTTTTCTTCTTTTTTTCATGTATCTTTATTCTCTTTGGGTATGTGTATTTCCCAGAAGATAGGAAACATATCATTGTTGATGTGTTGAAGTTGTTAAAATGTCGTACCTCAATACAAGTTATTACATTATATGACTGCAGTTGCATTAACTCTTGCATTCCAGGTGAAAAGTTTTCCGAAATTGTGGGAAGCCCTTATTATATGGCTCCAGAGGTGCTCAAGCGAAATTACGGGCCAGAAATCGATATTTGGAGTGCTGGTGTGATTCTCTACATCTTGCTATGTGGAGTTCCTCCATTCTGGGCAGGTAATCTCTCTCTCTCTCTCTCTCTCTCTCTCTCTCTCTCTCTCTCTACTTTCTACTCAGCTGCCAGAGTTCCCCAGTATATTCTCCTGGATTTTTTTTGTTTTTCGTGTTACTTAAGTGTTCTCAAATCTGATAACCACAGAATATAGAAGACTTGGTGTATATCATGGGTGATTTTATGTTTTTATGCAGAATCTGAACAAGGTGTTGCCCAGGCAATCATTCGTGGGAAAATAGATTTTGAACGTGAACCATGGCCTAGTGTATCAGAGAGTGCCAAGAGCCTTGTAAGACAGATGCTCGAGCCAGATCCTAAGCTTCGACTGACTGCAAAGCAAGTTCTTGGTATGCTAGCTTTACTTTGAGCTACCTTTGATATATACAAGAATATATAACTTCCATTAACAACTCCACGTGCTATGTCGCCTAAAAAATGCTCAAAATTTCTTAGTGATCGATCCATGTCATTCTTTGGGTTTTAATATTTTTTATGGTTCTTAATTTTGCTCTATCTGAATAATGTGAACTCGCAGAACACTCTTGGCTTCAAAATGCTAAAAAGGCCCCAAATGTTCCTCTTGGGGATGTTGTCAAGTCAAGATTGAAGCAGTTCTCAGTGATGAATAGATTCAAGAGGAAGGCTCTTAGGGTTGGTTGATATTTAATATTTATATCTTTATTTGACCTTTTTCTGTAATTTAAGCTTTCACAAAATAAATTTTAAACTTGCTTCTTTTTGCATATAGGTCATTGCTGATTTCTTGTCTAATGAAGAAGTTGAGGGAATCAGAGAAATGTTTGCTAAGATAGACACGGATAATGACGGCATAGTTTCAACTGAAGAACTTAAGGCTGGTATGCAGAAGTTCAATTCACAATTAGCCGAGTCTGAAGTACAGATGCTCATTGAAGCTGTAAGTCTGCAACCCAATAAACCAATCACAAAATACTTGGCCGAGACTTTAGTATATATTGATACTATATATCATTCCAACAGGTAGATACAAATGGTAAAGGAACACTGGACTATGGTGAGTTCTTAGCCATCTCACTACATCTGCAGAAGATGGCCAATGATGAACATCTCCATAAGGCATTCTCGTTTTTCGACAAAAACGATAATGGTTACATTGAGCCGAATGAACTCCAGGACACCTTGGCCGAAGATGGAGTTGACGATTGTAAGGGTGTGGCCAATGATATTTTCCAAGAAGTTGACACAGACAAGGTGAAATAAAATGTTAAAATCTAAATTATAAAAGTTTTACCCCTTATGTTCAGACCAGTTTCAGAAACATCATATTAAATCTCAAAAAACAAGTACTCAATAGATTTTTTTTGTTTTTACTTTCACATATTGCATTCTTATGGTATTTTCATCATGAATGCAGGACGGGCGTATAAGCTACGATGAATTTGTGGCCATGATGAAAACCGGGACTGACTGGAGAAAGGCTTCTCGACACTACTCGAGAGGGAGATTCAATAGTTTGAGTATAAAGTTGATGAAAGATGGTTCGATTAACTTGGGTGAGCAAAATACACAGTAGTTGTCCTTTTTTGTTTTCACCTTCTTTTTCTCTCATTATTGTTTGCTGTGGCCTGCCTTGTGTTAATTGGCGTTCGAAATGAGCGGTGGATTATGAGGTTAAAGAATATGACAGCACGAAGTACATGTGATTAACCTCTTCCGGGTTTTGATTCAGTGATTTACGAAAGCTCAAATCCTCGTATATCCGAGCCCCCAACCATTGTGTGTTTGATTATTTTGTTCTTTCACTTTTTGTTAGATTCAGTATGTTTATTGATGACAATCACATTAGATATTTGGTGTTGTAGTAAGTAAATATCTGTGCAAAACACTTGGCATTGAATGGAATTTGTGTTGTTCAGGATGCAAGTATCCGACGGTTTAATTTTTCTTTCACCTCTTCTAAACTTTATTATTGAATATTCCTACTAACACCATTACGTAATGGAAAATTAGCTTGGCTTTGGTTCTATTTTTGTTTTTCAGTTCATCAATCTGCAAAAGAATGTGATGTAAAACCGAGATGGGATGGTGCAGAAGTAAAGATAATGAAAAATATCGACAATTGAGATGGGTTTTTGCAGATGTAAAATGTAAATGTATCAAGAAATATCGACATTTTTGCTCGGAAACAAAGCAAGTAAACAATATAAAGAGATTTAGTAAGCTTCTCAAATTCAGCTTCAAAGCAAATGTGAGCCTCCATTGATGTAACTGATACAACAACACGGCATGAAAAGCCATATGATTCCATCAAAAGTCTTCTACATAAAAGCTAAATAATTAAAACCAACTAAAGAACAAGATTAGAAACTTCACGCCAAGGGCAAAACGGAAAACATCGACATATGCATACAATCATCCCCCACNACCACTACACTACTTTTTTTGTCAGGCACTGATAATTCAAGATCTTTTTAACAACCACTATTGCCTGCCCCTTTTCGTGCAAGAAGGGCATTTGTACTGTTTGATGCTCTCGGCTTTAGCTGGCGTTATTTTCACGCACTTGCCGTGATACCACCTCTCACATATGTCGCAGCCTATCCAAAACTCGTCAGCATTGTAATTCCCACCACAGCTGCCACACAATGTCTCACTGTGTTCATCTTCGTTTTCTTCTTCATAACTTTCCTCAGCCACCTTTGGGTTGCTTTTGACTTGGCCATCGTTAGACCTCTGCAAATATGAGCTTAATTAGTTATTTTAGGATGAGATGAGGAATACAAGGAGGTGTGATGGATCTTGATTTATAGGAAGGCCAAAAGAAAAAAAAAAAATGTGTAGGGGGGTTGTTTTGTAAGTTAACAACATATTATTGCTCAACTTTAAGGATTGAAAAGAGATATGACGAACAAAAAATTCTAACCTTTGTGCCGCCACGAGATTTGCTGCCGCTATCAGTGTTTGGCTTGTCTTTAACGGGCTTTCTTTCTGTTACCACTTCAAACACAGTTGGCAGCTCATTCATCATGCTGAAAAGCCGCTTCCTGGAATATGGTCAACAACATATAACAATTATATGAAACATTGTTTCTTCTTCTAAGCATATATATTATCATTTTCATTTTCCTATTTATTTTCTTGCTTGAATACCAAAAATGCACTACGCAGTAGCAAATAAAATGTATGAATAGATGGTTAACTACAGAAATTGACAAAAGTAAAATGTATGAATAGATGGTCAACAACCATTTCAGGATTTACAGTTTAATATATAACTAAACAAGACTGCAACATCAGAAAGCATTACATAAATGTTTGCAACCAAATGAAACATATTGATTAGCTGCCAATTTACATCCAAGTGATGAACATGTCTTTCTCGGACCAAATATTGTATACTTGTCAGTAAACTATCCATTTTGAATAGAGCAGGTAGAGTCAATATTAATTAAGCTAAACATGAGTTAGTGAATACCAAATAACATTAGCCAAAACACACTAAGAAACAGAAACAAAACACAAGAAAAGAAACAACACCAAAACTGATAATAAACAACAGCAAGAGAAAACTGCCCTGCAACTAAAAACAGTGATAAAATTTGCCAACACATCAACAGTTTTGCAATTTCGGTAAACAAGTGAATTTCGATACAGGATGAGTCTTCAGTAATATGCATATCAATTCTAAGTTGGACATTATAAAAAGTCCGAGCTTAATGCATTTCTGTTGCACAATAACCACGAGATATTTTAAACAGGAATGAGAAGAAACAACTTGTCAATGCACTCGAAAAGAAAATATCTTGTAATAAATAGTAACAAATAATTTTATACCTTTCATTGCGGTTCAACCTTGCCCCAAGATAAAAAGCCACAGAGAGCAACCAACAATCACTGTGGACAGCAATTAGCGAAAGCCAATCCCTTCTGTTCATCCCATCCCTGGCAAAATTGATCCCAAGTGCTGGCTCAGGGAGCTCCGGTGGAACTTCCTCCGCCGGAAGATTTACTTCCCAAGTTTCATTTGGATGTCCGTACAAACAAAGATTCTCTTTCTCTAGATAAATAAAATTGAGAAACAAAAATATAATAAACTATAGGTATAAAACATAACAAAGATGTTAAGAACCCATTAATCATAACCATACAGAGTAATAACGCACATATAAGAGCTTCAATGTAAAAAATTTAGCAGCAAATTAGGAAGTTGGTAACTTTTTTCCTCCTTAATTTCTTCCTCGTCAAAACAGTAAGCTGAATTTCAGGACAAACCAAAATCAAAATACAAGAAATAAGCTTGAAAATTGAAACAGCCATAAAAAACTAAACAAGAAGGCCATTAAGTTACTGGAAATGAAAAGGCACCGTGCTAAAGCAACAAGATTTCACCAATTCCTACTTTTCACCTAACAAGGGAGACAATAGAGCTTCAGATTAAAGAATAAACCAATCTTTACACAACTCACACCATGAAAATTAATCAAATTCCAATTTCAACCATCAATTTACACTATCAGAACCTAGTCAAAACACCAAAATTCACCTAAAATTCAATACTAACCAGACAGCACAAATTTCTAAAATTCAGTAAAAAACAAATCTTAGCTGAAAACAAGTTACCCGGATCACAGAGGCTGTAAAATTCATCCANGTGGCGATTGCTATTTGTTATGATGCGACGCGGACTACACCAACATAATTTTCTTGACTTGCAATTGCAGAACATCTTCAACTTGCAAAAATGTTGATAGACTTTGGATTGGAAATAAATTTAAGAAAATGTGTTATGCTTTGGAAGGAAAAGTGCGGATCTTTTTATATATAAAGGAAAACTTTTTTAATATAAGTGGAATTTTTGGCATTTCTTAATTGTATACGTAGATTTTTTATTTTTATACTTTTACATATCGAATTTTACTGTATAATAGACTTTTTTATTCTGACATTTAAAATTGTGTACTTCATTAATTTAAATTATATATTCCAAGACTTAATTTCTTATTAGTATTTTATTATGTAGTTGATTTGACATTTGTATTACAATTTACACATAAAAAATACATCTACATTCATAAATAAGATTTAAATCATATAGTGAAGCATAGTTAGAAAATAATAAAATGAAGAAATGCAGCTTGAAGAAGAGGAAGTGTTTGGGCTATATCCTATACAAATCCCTCCTAAATTTGCCAAACTCCATTTTCTTAATATATATATATATATATATATATATAATTGCTAGCAACAAATTTAATAAAACTATTCAAGTTTTCCCTCTATTTTTCGTTATTTTTACATTAATTAAGTATATAAATTTTTAATTTATTTCATTATAGAACACCTACTACTAACAAAGCATAAAGTCGCATTAAATGATACTCTAATCTATTTTTTTTTTCAAACGATTTACTTAAAAGTTTTTTATTTTATTTCAACTCATTAAGCAAGTTTTTTTTATGATATAACCACACCTTTTAAAAATTCGTACACAATTGCTATAAAAATAAATTTAATATTGTTTTATTTAATAAATTATTCATCATCAACAAAGAATGCAAAAATATATTATTGCAATCGGTATAAAGATTAATATGTAAGTTAATAGTTTTTATTTATATAGTTCGTTTTTACTAAGGATAATGTTTATAAAATGTGATATGTCCATTATCTAACTTATGATTTCACATATTATATACACACATGTAACATATAAAATTTTATTTGCATCTGTACATTAGTAGCCATGTAAAAATAGATCAAAAATCAAAATTAAACTGCATGAATATCTATATCTATCTCTATATCCATCTATATATATATATAAAAAGAGGTTGTTGGAAAAATTCATTAATAGAAAACTTGACCAAATAAATATAATGTTGACATACTATTAATGGAAAGTTCAAAAAAATACATGTGAATCTTTAGTAACAAAATCTAAATCCTATTTTTTTGGTAACTAATTTGGAGATTCTTATGGCAAAATTTGAATCCCATTTTTTTTGTATCATATTTTATTTTTTTTTACAAAAATTTAAATTATATATTTTTTGTTAACAAATTTGGAGATTCTTATGCAAAGAATGTGTCAATTATTTATGAAAACAATTCTAAATACAAATTAACTTAAAAACCGTACAAATTGGATACAAATTTTGGAAACAAATAGTTGTATAATTCTTAACTAATTTTTCCAATCTTATTGACTATTTTTTTTTTCAAAAAAAAAAATGTGTAAATTGGATAAAACCACGTGCAATTTTTATTTTAGAATAGAACTGATATTTGGACGAGATGTACATTCAAAATTGTGTCGACATTTTTTGGTAACAAAAGTAGTTCATCTTTGATATTTAAAAATTAAAAAAAATCTTAAAATATCCTTAAATATTTAACTTATTTGAGATCAAGATTTGTTAAGTCTTTTTAAGATTATTTATAATTTAAAAGAAAAACACATTATACAAATTTTCACTCTAAATCTCACATTCACTTAAAATTTTATAGTATTCCTCTAAAATTTGACCATCTTAAAAGTCTCAAATCTAAAAAAATCTCAAAGTGGCACTCAAAATCCTAAGCGAATACATATTATTTACTTATATCTTCAATTTATAATTATTATTTAATATTATTTACCCGTGCATCGCACGGGCCACATACTAGTAAATAATAAATCATGTCTTTAGCAAATTTTCCACACTAAATTATCATTTAATTTACTAATACATCATTTTGACACAATATATACACACATATTTTTCAAATACTTTTATACCTTTTTTATAATTATCACGTGATATGAATGGATATCGTGGTCGTAAAGATATTTGATAATTTAAATTTTAGCTTATTAATCATGGTTGAACCATGGACTTGCTATATATATATAAAAACAAAATTAAGTCAACTGATAAAATTATTCNAAAAATCCATTATAGTAAAACTAAACATTGTAAAATATAAATTGACATATAATCAATTGCATGAGTGCTCTTTTTATTGTGTCATGAATGAACGATATATATATATAAAAAGGTAAGATAAAATATTGATATTGGTATCAACCTAAACGTGACATGCATTGTACAAAAATAATGACATGTGATTCTAAATGATTTTATTCATTGAGTGTTACTTGGGTTGAGCCGAGCATGCTCGTTTAATAAACGAGCTATAGGCTATGCTCGAGCTAGACTCATGAAAGATCTTTGATCAAACTTAAAAAAATTGTAATCGAGTTGTTCGTAAATATTTTTACTCAGCTATTGCTTTGAGACTTATAAAAGAGTCATCCTCGAACAAAGTTCGGTTCGACTTGTTTCATAAATTAGCTCGATTAATTGTTTGAACTCTGACTAGTATAAGTAAACAAATGAGTCATACTCGAACGTCCACGTTCACAGACTAAACGATGCTGTATTTGCAAACAATTTGGTTCAAATAACAACTCAATTTAATTTACACTTTGTCATATTAGTTTTACCAACTTCAACCATATCAATATATCACGGACTTGCATTGGAGATAGAAGAGATGCTTCATAAAAAGCTAATTGAGCCTTTTAAATACCTATCAACTGCCAAATTCAAGTCCAGCTACTTCCAAATAAATTGACAAAAGTTATTGTCTACAAAACATTACCAAGTTAAAAATCATTACTTCAATGTTTCATCCTATTTACTTATGTAGATGTCCTTTTTCACTAAGTTTGTCCACACAAGTCCTTGATAAATTTGTTGGAATTTTCAAATTGCACAAATTCTGAATAAATTTTCATGAATTTGGAAAAACAGTGGGCTATCATTGAAAAACATGAGAGAACAAATAAATCAACTTTTCCTTGAATCTTGTATAAAGTCATAAGAAGAAATTCAAACCATCATTACCTGACTGCAAGCACTCAATAATGATACTCACAGGCTAGCATAGAAAAGCTCCAGTCAAACTCAACCTTGTTTGCACTTTGCAACACAAAGCTTGCAAACAGTTTAGTATAATGAAAACTGAGAATAAGAAGGCATTTTTATCAGCTCAAAGATGCAGATTTCACACACACACATATATATATATATATATATATATATATATATAAAAAAGAACATACGTAAAATGCCAAGCGTGCAAACAACGGTACCAAAGAAGCAAATTTGACGTAAAATCCCAAGCGTCGATCTTACCAAATAGATAAAATCAAATTTGATAAATGAAATAATTTGATCGAAAGATGCATATCTTGAAAACAAAGAAATCCCTCGCATAATTTCAAACCCCAAAATAATGAGACAAGCCAGGACAGACAGCTCAAACTAGCTTACAAAGATCTATACTAACCATACTCAAGCCGCTCAAGTTCAAGAAGATGTCAATAACCGTTTAATGCCCGTTTTCTGCTCCGAAGTAAGCCTGCTGGGGAACTTGATGTTGAACTTGATTCGTAAATTCCCCTTTTTGCCCGGCTCCTTTGGAATCGGCATGCCCTCACCTTTAACAACTTCTTCATAGCTGGGACTAACAATGGTGCTTATAGGTATCGTCAGATTCCGGCCATCGAGGGTGGTTACTGGTGCAGTGTAGCCGGTTAGGGCCTCGACCAATGAGATCTTTTGGGTGAGAATTAAATCATTACCGTCCCTTTTGAACACGCTGTGTGGCTTCTCGTCGATGATGAAAACAAGGTCAGAGGGTATGACACCTCGTTGCTCGTTCCCCTTCTCAGGGAAAGTTATTTTCGTCCCTTTTTTCCACCCAGGCTTGATTTCGATTGTGAGGATTTCCTCTGTGGTAGAGGGTCGCCTGGTGCAAAGCCGAAAAGGAAAA